GCACTGCAAAGTTGGTTTGAACTGCAAGGCAGTGGTTCAAGCTCACTGGCTGCTGGGAAACCCTATACAAGATCATTATGAGTTGGAAGTGACTCAACAGCACTTAACAATAACAACAATAACTGATTGGTGGATGGCTGCAGGCAAGTTCTCTCACCAGTTCACTTGTCCTAGTATTCTTGTTGTTGTTAAGTGACTTGGAGTTGGATCTGGCTGATGGGTTTAAATTGTCAACCTTATCCTACAACCGCATACTAGGTCTCCTTAGTTCCCTTAGCCTTAAAAAAGAAAAATTCCATCCAAATATTGACTTCATAGGGGATCTGCACAACTAAATTTAAGGAAGAGTGATAAGCTCTGAAGAAGATTGTTGTTGTTGTTGTTAAGTGCCATCGAGTCGGGTCCGACCCATAGCGACCCTGTACAGGGTTTCCGAGGGTGTAAATCTTTACGGGAGTAGAAAACCTCATCTTTCTGCCGCGAAGCGGCTGGTAGTTTCGAACCGCTGACCTTAAGGTTCGCAGCCCGATTCGTAACCACTACGCTACCAGAGCTCTTCTGAAGAAGATGATGACTGCATTTTAGTATTTCTGTAGTTAAGTGTTGTTGAGTCAGTTCCAACTCATAGCTACCAGTATAGGGTTTCCAAAGAACAGCTGGTGAATTTGAACTGCTTATCTTGTGATTCAACTCGACCTTAAAGTCCAGTGCTTGACCCCAAAGCACTATACTAGGACTCCTATAAAGGGATAATTTTGATAGATTTTCTCAAAGGACACAGGACAATTATGGGGGAGTCCTGGTGTGGCACTGTGGGTTAATGCGCTAGATTGCAAAGTCAGTTAGAACTGGAAGGTTGGTGGTTCAAGCTCAGCAGTCACTCCTTGGAAACCCTCTAGAGGGTCACTATGGGTCGGAACTGACTCAACAGCATTTAACAACAACAACAACATGAAGAAGCTTTAAGAAAACTGAAAATTGCATTACTGATTGAGGAAAAGGTCGGGAACATTACACTGAGAAATGCTTCCCATCAGGACAATGCACCTGCTCACTCTTCAAATATGAGAAACAATGTTCTAGGAGAATTTTATTGGAACCTTACCCCATTCACCCTACAGTACTGATCTTGCTCCTTCAGACATTTTGTTTTGTTTTGTTTTGTTTTTTTGGTTCTCAAAACTCAAAGAACATTTTAAAGGAATATATAGAGTTCCGCGAGGATGCCAAGACTGCCATTTTAATGTGTTGTAAATTGAAGAGCACAAAATTCTTTGAGGAAGGGTTGTAGAAATGTAAACCCCGCTTTCAGAAGTGTATAGACCTATATGGCAGATGTGCTGAGACATATAGCTTCACATTAAAATTTTTTTGGTTAGTAAAAGTTTATGATTCTGTAGCAATACTCTGGACTTATCCTCCAGCTTGTTAGATAAAGTAATGTCAGCTGCTTTAATAAAGAATTTCTAAATTTCAATCTCTATTTCATTGTACATTAAAGGTTTACTTCGGACTCAACATAGTCCAATGTAAGTTCATAGCGGGTATGAGATTTCCCGTGACCCGGAAACCCTCAGTATTTTGCGTTAAGATTGCTCTGGTAGACGGAATGTGAAGAGGGAAGCGAACTAGCAAGAACAAGTACTCTTTGTCTAAAATGCTTTGAACCATCACTGCCATAACACTTTTATTCATATTCCACTGGGAAACACTAAACCCTTGCTCTCTTTCCCCTTAAATGCAAAAAACTTGGGACATGCCATTTTGAGACTATCTGGCCAGTCTCGAAGGAACTCTGGTAGCGTAGTGGTTACTAATCGGGCTGCTAACCTCAAGGTCAACAGTTTGACACTACCAGCCATTTCGCGGGAGAAAGATGAGGCTTTCTGCTTTCCTTAAGATTTACAGCCTCGGAAACCCTGTGTAGGGTCACTATGAGTCGGAACTGACTCCACAGTACTTAACAACAAGAACAGCCAGTCTCTGCCACACACACTGGAAGGAAAAAGTCAGTGTTGTTAACATCCATAAGGAAATTATCTATGATTTTTATTTTAAACTTTTCCCGTGTATTTTAAAATAAATATAAATTATGTCCGTTAAAGGAGCTCTGGTAGCATAGTGGTTACTAATCGAGCTGCGAACCTCAAGGTCAGCAGTTCGAAACTACCAGCTGCTCCGTGGGAGAAAGATGAGGCTTTCTGCTCCGGTAGAGGTTTACAGCCTTGGAAATCCTGTACAGGGTCGCTATGGGTCGGAACCGACTCGACGGCACTTAACAACAACAACAACAGTCCCATAGATGCAATGAGCATTAATATACTTACAATGCCATATGCAGTTCAGCAGCCTACGGCTTGGAGCACTCACTACGGTATACATTTCAAGATGGCTGCATGCCTTAGGCCATTTCCTGGATGCTCGCCAGAGCGATAGAAAATACACTCGAGCATAAAGAGGACCCTTCTGTGTGTATGGGTAATTTGGATATATTTATCAACTCTGATCACCTGGATTGTTTGACTGGTTTGGCTGGCTTGGAGGACTTCCCATTCTTCCCTCAGTGTTCATATGTTTCCTTTCCAAACCCTTTCCCTATGGTAAAAGGAGCAATGCTTCCCATTAGCAAAAGTGGGACAGTAAAAGTTCTATCTCTTCGCAGTCTATCATAATGTTCATTAGCAAAATTACTTCAGTATGAATACATAGGTTGAAACTTCATGCTATTTAATGTAGATTTACTAACTGATGATTTAACAAGCACCAATATTGATAGCTCTATTCATAGCCCTTTAAAAGGAATTCCTTTGGAAAGTGAAAGGGTTACTTATTGCTTGCCGTGCACTGAGTTTGTGTGAATAGTGGTGATGGTTGAACAGCAAGGTGAACATAGTCAATGTCTCTGAATAATTGTATGTGTGAAAAATATTGAAATAGCAAATGTTTTGTTATATGAGATACTTGTTAAGTACTGCTGAGTCAGTTCTGATTCATAGTGACCCTGGATAGGGTTTACATTGACAGAGAACTTCCAGAGGTTCAAGCTGGATTCAGAAGAGGCCGTGGCACGAGGGATATTATTGCTGAAGTCTGATGGATCTTGGCTGAAAGCAGAGAATATCAGAAAGATGTTTACCTACGCTTTATTTACTACACAAAGGCTTTCGATTGTGTGGATCATGACAAGCTATGGACAACATTGCGAAGTATGAGTATTCCGGAACATTTAATTTTACTCATAAGGAATCTGTACCTGGACCAAGAAGCAGTTGTTCGAACAGAACATGGGAACACCGAATGTTTTAAAATTAAGAAAGGTGTGTGACAAGGTTGTATTCTTTCACCATACTTATTCAACCTATATGCTGAGCAAATAATCCGAGAAGCTGGATTCTATGAAGAAAATCGTGACGTCAGGATTGGAGGAAGACTCATTAACAACCTGCCATATGCAGATGATACAACCTTGCTTACTGAAAGTAAAGAGGACTTAAAACATTTACTGATGAAGATCATAGAACACAGCCTTCCATATGGATTACATCTCAATGTCAAGAAAACAAAAATCCTCACCACTGGACCAATAAACAACATTCTTGGTATGTGTGAAAAATATTGAAATGCAAATGTTTTGTTGTATGAGATACTTGTTAAGTGCTCTTGAGTCAGTTCTGATTCATAGTGAATCAGTGGAGAAAAGATTGAAGTTGTCAAGGACTTCATTCTTCTTGGATCAACTATCAACACTTATGGAAGCAGCAATCAAGAAATCAAATGGGGTATTGCGTTTGGCAAATCTGCTGCACAAGACTTTTTTAAAGTGTTGAAGAGCAAAGATGTCAGCTTGAGGACTAAGTTGCGCCTGACCCAGGCCATGGTATTTTCAATAACCTCATATGCATGCAAAAGCTGGACAATGAATAAGGAAGACCGTAGAAGAAATGATGCCTTTGAGTTATGGTGTTGGAGGAGAATATGGAAAGTGCCATGGGCTGCCAAAAGAACCAACAGATCTGTTGTAAGAAGTGCAGCCAGACTGCTCCTTGGAGGCCAGGATGGCCAAACTTCGTCACTCATACGTCGGTCATATTGTCAGGAGGGACCAGTTTCTGGAGAAAAATATCATGTTTGGTAAAGTCAGAGAAAAAGAGGAAGGTCCCCAATGAGATGGATTGGCCTATTGGCCGCATCGATGGGCTTGAGTGTGGCAACAGTAGTGTGGTTGGCCAAGTATCGGGCAGTGTTTCATTCTTCTGTGCATAATGTCGCTATGAGTCAGTACCAACCCAATAGCACCTAACAACAACCAGCTGAGGAGCAGCTGGTGAGTTTGAACCATTGACCTTGCAGTTCAAACTGACCTTTTGGCCCAGTGTTTATCCTACAGTACCACACCAGGATTACGTAGTAATAAAAATGAAAGGGAAAGGAAGAATAAATATGTACTGTAAGGACATTATAACATCCCCAATCCTACACACTTCATTTCCATTCCACATTATAATTTTGGCTTACCCTGCAAGGTCAGTGGTTCAAGCTCACAGCTGCTCCTTGGAAACTCTATACAGGGTCACTATGGGTTGGAACCGACACGACAACATTAACAACAACAACCCTGGAAGATTAATTTGTTCCTGCTGCTAAGATCCTTTTCAACACTCACCACTGCCTTTCAGCCTCAAGTCTGTCATTTCCTTGCCACATACTTATATTCTGTTCATTGTATGCCACTTTCTTGCACCTGTCCTGTTAAGGAGTCCCCCATGGCCATTTAATATTTAAAGGCTGGGATCATTTTGCAGGTTTTAGTTTAAAGGTAACCATAGCACACATACATTCATTATTAATAGCAGAGATGCGCAGTTAGTTCTTGGGAATCTTCTTTTCTTTCAATGTTCGTTTCATATGAGTGCTGCTGTCACTAGAATTGAGCTCTGATATTGATATGTGGCCAGTGGACTATAGCAATAATCCTGGATCCAGAATGATGTAAAGTGCTCATGAGGGTAGGTGTGATCATGTTAAAAAGGGAGATGAAGCCGGAAAATGACAGGCCACGCAGAGTCCGATTTCGGATTGCATCGTCTCACAGCGGGCGAGTTCTGAAGGAGGTGTATGATGATGGGCAGCCTTCAGGCTCTCTTGACTCAGAGTGTGCCAGTATCTGTGGGATAGATGGACTAAGTGAGTCTGATGGGCAGCAGAATGGCCACATAGGATCAGAAAGTGACGAGCATGAGAATGACCAGGATAACTTGCTGGTGCTAGCAAGGGCTGCCAGTGAGAAGAGCTTTGGCACAAGAAGAGTCAACATTTTAAGCAAAAATGGCACAGTAAGAGGTGTCAAATACAAAGTGAGTGCTGGTCAAGCTCTTTTTAACAATTTGCCCAACGTATTGCAGGTAAGTAATTGCTTTTTCCACTTTCTGAGCTTTGCTTCTTATACAGCATCTGAGCATCTATCTCTTTTCCAGGTTAGAGCAAGCCTCTCTTCTTCATGACTCCTACAGATTTCATGAGTCAGGGCTCCACTCTCCCACCCAAGATTCTGTCTCAACCAGCAGGGATTAAATATAGGATCATTACACTTAGCAAACTAAAACAACTTCTTAAAGCCAAAATTCTAGCATTTGACTTTCTAGCGTGCAATGACTAAAATAATATAGCTATGTCTTAGCCAAGAAAGAAGACAGAATTATAGGGTACAAAGTCTTTGAACAAAACTGAAGTATAAATTTTCAGCTTATCATCCTTAAAATACCATTTATCTTCACTTTTCTAAGTATTCAAGCCAGTAAGAGTTGAGTATTTACATTTAGTAGGGGTGAATACAGCTGAAATCAATTTATGAAGTTGTAAAAGTTCATTTTGATTTCTTGCCATTACTAAAGAGGTGGCAGCTTTGGGTGAAGTCCTTTTCTCCATTAATTTGCCTATACAGACTTTAGAGTAACATTTGAAAAAGTTGTTCTTTTATAAGTATACAGACAGAGATAATTTGTCACAATATGACAGATACTTCTCATTAACATAGGAATATTTATTTAGGTCCTGGGGCCTTTGGCAATGATCTAATATCAAGACAAATTTTGACATTGCCTGGAAGGAATGGTCAAATGATTTGCTGTTAAAAACAGGCATAATTATTTCAGGACTAGTCATTAAGGTAGCACACCAATATCGTGCATTGTAATACTATTTTCTCTTATTCTCAATATTGAAGTAAATGATCTTCTGTGATAAATTGTTCAATGCCTCTACATGTGTAAGAATGGGGGAATTGTGGAAAGAGGATTTCAACAAAATGCACTTTAAATTTTTATTATAAAGAAAGTATTTTAAAAGATCACATGAGAATTAAAAAACAACAAATGTTTTTTGTTTAAAGAGTAAAAGCAATTAAGACTAAAGTTTCTTTTCATATACAGAAATTAGAATAATTTTACAGATTGAGAGGGTGGTTTGAAATGAAACCTGAAGAATGGTGGCTATGTTTTGTAGTAAGTTGGAAAGAATTTTATATAGATATCTAGAGTTGTGACTATTTTGTTAAGATAATTTTAATGGTCTCTGAGTTTTACCTAGTGCAGAAATTATTATTGCTAAGGTGTACACCAAGACTCTTTGTATCAATTAAATGTTAAAATGTTTGTATTCATTGTGGTTAACTTATCTTGTCTTCCAAATTTCTTGGCATAGACTAACTAATGAGTGTTTCTAGTGCTGCATCAATTTGCTGAAACATTTCAGTTGATATTCTGTCCATTCCTGGAGACTTGTTTTTCACAACTTCCATGCAGCTTGGTCTTCTTTCTTCACTGTCAATTGATTTTGATCATATGCTACTCCGGAAATAGTCGAACATTGGGTTTTTGTTTAGTGACTATGTGTAGTTTTTCATTTTCTTTTGATGTTTCCTTTGCCATTCAATATTTTGCCCATAGAATTCTTTTAATATTGCAAGTTGAGCCTTGATTTTTTTCTTCAGTCATTTCAGCTTGAGAAATGCTGAGTGTGTTCTTCTCTTTTGTTGTTTTTGACTCCTGACATTTATACATTTCCATATAATACTTTATTTTGAACTGTCTTTTGGAATTTTCTGTGCAACTCTTCTAGTTTACCATTTCTTTGTTAATTTTAGCTACTTTATGTTCAAGAGAATATTTTAGAGTTTCATTTAATATTCATTTTTATCTTTTCTTTATTTTTAATGACCTTTTGCCTTCTTCATGTACAATGTTCTTGATGTCATTCCAAACTTGTCTGGTGCTCAGTCATTACTGTTCAACGAGTCCAATCTGTTCTTGAGACAGTCTCTAAATTCAGATGAGATACACTTCAGGTTGTATTTGGCTCTACTGGACTTATTTTAATTTTCTTCAGTTTCAACTTGATCTCACATATGAGCAGTTAATTGTCTGTTCCAGTTAGCCTCTGTCTTTGGTTTGCCTGATGATATTGAATTTCTTCATTGTCTCTACCCACAGATGTAGTGAGTTTGAATCCTGTGTGTTCCATCTGGTAAGGTCCACGTGTATAGTCATCATTTATGTTGTTTAAAAATAGTATTTGTAATGAAGAAATCATTGCTCTTGCAAAATTCTATTATGTGATCTCCAACATTGTATCTATCACCAAGTTCATATTTTATAACTTTCTTTGTTTAAAACTTACATATTAGAATCACCAATAATTATCAATACATCTTGATTGCATGTTTGATCAATTTCATATTGAAGAAGTTGGTAGAATTCTTCAATTTCTTCATCATTAGCTTTGGTTGTGGGTGTGTAATTTGAATAACAGTTGTATTAACTGGTCTTCTTGTAGGTGTCTAGATATTGTCCTACCACAGATAGCATTGTATTTCAAGATAGATCTTGAAATGTTCTTTGACAATGATTGTGAAACCATTCCTCTTAAATTTGTCATTCCCTGAATAGGAAACCATATGACTGTCAAATTTAACTGGCCAGTACCTCTTCATTTCAGTTCACTAATGTCTAGGATGTTGTTTAGTGCTGTAAAGTTGGTTCTGACTCATAGCAATCCTGTGTAGGCTTTCCAAGGTGCAAATGATGGGTTTGAAACACCCACCATAGTGTTTATCCTACAGTGCCACACCAGGAGTCTAGGATATTGGTCTTTATTTGTTACACTTCATTTTTGGTGACTTCCAGTTTTCCTAGAAATATGCTTTGTGGATTCCTCTTTCCCATAATTAATGGACATTTGCAATGTTTAATTTTTTTCATTGTGAGTCATACCCCATCTGCATATGAGGGTACTGAAAACTTTGCTACACCCATGTTATTAAGGTTGACACTGCTTTAAGTAGGCAGTTCTTCCTTCATGGTATTTTGAAAGCCTTCAACCCAAGGGGTTCATTTTCCAGCACTATATCACAGAACATTTCACTGTTACTCGTAAGATTTCAGTGGCTAATCCGTCACTAGTCTTCCCCATATTCCTTCTTCCTAGTTTGTTCTTTGTCTGGAAGCACTACTGAAATTTGTCAAACAGAGGCATTTGAAACACCAGTGGAGTAGCTTCTAGAATCACAGCAATATGCAAGTCTCCACAGTATGACAAACTGACAGACGTGTGGAGTAATAGCCCTATAAACTCTCAAATAGAAAATAGAACAAATTCTGAAGTAAATTTATTAATACTAGATTAAGTTACAATATTTACTTGCATACTTTGTCCATGCATACTTATTTCACTCTCATATAAAAAAAATCATCATTATCACTTTCCATTTATCATTTGCTTTGAATGGGCAATAATGGTTACTAGCAAAGACTCTTCAAGGTATTCAATATTTAATAAGATGTTCCACTTGGTCCTTCTTTATAAGGTAGGTAAAATGATGGTCATATTCTATGTATGCACTAATTTTGGTCATCATCAACTATCATCATCATTGTCCTCATCATCCTGTATCTCCAGCAAAAAGCATAGTATTATGTTTGACAGTTCAAGTGTCCCACGGAGCTTCATTCATATTTTTGTCCATGTGAATGATCCCCTTGGAATTTTGCAACACAGCCTGACTTGGATGCTTGCCAGTAACCGAGGGGTGTGTGTTCATGTATTTTTGAGTCTATGTGGGTACATATATAAATTTCTTCTTGCTAGCTTTCAGGTGGTGTCTTAAAATTACTGAGTAGGTTCCCACAGGTATCCCACAATGTAATTATAGAGAAGTCTTGTGGCAAAAAGCAGGGGGTATTCGCTTGCCATTTAATTACACCTGTATCTACTACCAGGTATGATTCTTTCCCTGCATGTCTATATTTTTCCCATATCCTTTGGGAGTAACTGTAGCATAGCAATCTCTCTCAGGGAGAGAAAAGTGAGAAACTGTATCTTGGATATTTGATTAAGTTTCCAATGTACAGTCATTTTTACTGAAGCAAGCAAGCAACTATATTGAAGAAACAGTCCAGCCTTTCTTCCTGTTTTAAGTTATAAAATCTTATAGCACTCAACTTGAAACTTGAGAGGAAACCCTAAATAGAAATAAAATCTTTCAAAGACCCTGTAAATCACTTTGCTTCCTATTAGTTTCCTATTCTGTTCCTGTCTCATAAAGCATTGGTATGTGCATTGCAAAAATTTCAACTGCAAAAATTTTAAGAGTAGTTAAAATTATTTTTGCTTAAAACATTTTACTTCTTAGCTGCATTTACTTAAAAAATGGTTTTAAAAAGGATATTCAAACCAGTTCCCATTTTATTTGTCACCCAATTTGCTCTATACAATCCTGGGTAATTTAATCTCTGCTATATAAATTAAATTGTTAAGATGAAATAGCAGACAAAGAAAGAAAGGTCACCTGGCTGCACACATGGGCTTTGTAGAGGGCGATACTTTCTTACAGGGGGCACAGACTGAAATTGATCATGATTCTGCAGATCCAGTTGCTTGAAGTTACCTTTTCTTCCAGGGACAGTAAGTTACAAAGTTTAAGCCCAATTTGTTCATCTGAAAACCTTGAAGGAAAATCTAGTTGTGGCCTGGAAATTTGTATTTGCTATTGTTAGTTGCAGTAGAGTCAGTTTTGAATCATAGAGACCCTATGTACAAGGGAATGAAACACTGCTTGGTCTTGTGCCTCAAACATTGTTGCCATGTTTCAGCCAATTGCTACAGCCACTATAGTAATTCATCTCATAAAGGGTCTTCTTCTTTTTTGCTGACACTCTACCACCAAGCTTGATATCCTTTTCAAGGGACTGGTCCATCCTGACAACAAAGTAAGTAAGACAGTCTCACCATTCTTGCTTCTAAGGAACATTCTGGCTGTACTTCTTCCAAGACTGAATTGTTTGTTCTTCTGGTAGTCCATGATATACTGAATATTCATCAGTAACCCCACAAATTTACTAGCAACTCA